ACACAAGAGTGGTACATTTGTTGTAATTGGTGAATCTACATTTACCCATTATTATCACTTAAAGTTCCTAGTTTACATTAGCATTGACTCTTGCTGTTGTAACATTCTTTGAGTTTTGACAAATGTTTAATAGCATATATCCACCATTACAGTATCATACAAAATAGTTTCACTACCATAGAAATCCTCTGTGCTCTGCTGTTTATCCTTCCCACTCCTCTAATCCCTGGCACCCACTGATCTTTTTACTGTCTCCATAGTTTTGCCTTTTCCAAAAGATTATATAGTTGGAATCATATGTTAGCCTTTTTAGGTTGGTTTGTTTTACTTAGTAATGCATATTTAAGTTTCCACCATGTTTTTTCATGGCTTGAGAGCTCATTTATTTTTAGTGCTGAATAATATTCCATTGTCTGAATATACCGAGGTTTATTTATCCACTTGCCTATTGTAGAACATCTTAGTTCCCTCCAAGTTTTGGCAATTATGAATAAAACTGCTATAATCATCCATTTGTAGGTTTTTGTGTAGACATAATTTTTTTAAAAGATTTTATTTATTTATTTATTTGACAGAGCAAGAGAGCACAAGTGGGGGAGCAGCAGGCAGAGGGAGAGGGAGAAGCAGACTCCTTGCTGAGCAAGGAGCCGGATGTGGGGCTCCATGCAGGGCTCCATGCAGGGGTTCATGAGGGGATCAATCCCAGGACTCTGGGATCATGACCTGAGCCAAAGGCTGACACTTAGCCGACTGAGCCACCCAGGCACCCCTGTAGACATAAATTTTTAACTCTTTTGGGTAACTACCAGCAGCATGATTGCTGGATTGTGTGGGAAGAATATGTATAGTTTTGTAAGAAACTATCAAACTGTCTTGCAAAGTGAATACCATTTTCATTCCCACCAGCTATGTATGAGAGTTCCTATTGCTCCACATCTTTTGCCTGCATTTGGTATTATCACCATTCCACTAGGTGTGTAGTAGTATCTCATTGTTTTTCTAATTTGCATTTCCCCAGTGACATATAATGTTAAGCATCTTTTCATATGCTTATTTGCCATCTGTCTATCTTCTTTGGTGAAGCATCTATTGAGTGATGGGGTCCATGATCAAAGGAGCGAGACTGATACAAAGCAAAGGTCAAACAAAGCTTTATTTCACACCAGCACAGAGAATCAAACTGACTGGCTGGGGCCATCTCTTAGGGAGAGAGCGACCACCCCCAGCTTCACAGACTAGCTTTTATTGAGCAAAGGCCATGTGGTTGAGCCTGGCCAATGAGATTATCTCCACCTGGCCTGACTCGTCCTTGCATTCTGGGCTCTGTTATCTCTACCTGACCTGACCCGTCCTTGTATTTGGGCTCTGTTATCAGGGACTGGTCAACCATATTGGTCGGCCAACTTGCTTTTAAGTAAGTTCCTCTGGGGGGTGGGGGGCAAGGTCAGTTTAAGTTTTACTGCACAAACAACAAAATGGCTGTTTAACTGAGATGGAGTCACTCTGGCTAAGTAGGTCCCTACATTGAGGTCTTTTGCCCGGTTTAAAATTAGGTTGTTTTCTTATTGTTGAATCCCAAAGGTCCTTTATATTTTGGGTAACAGTTTTTTATTAGTTATGTCTTTTGCAAATATTTTCTTCCAATCTGTGGAAAATGCATTTTAAGGTGTAGCATGCCAAGTCCCTCATCATTTCATTTGGTATTGTCTTGTTTTTTAAAACACAGTTTGCTTTCATTTTGTCAAATTTTAGAAATTACCACTTAACTGGACTTGAATTAAGGGATTTTATATATTATAATCTGTAATTTGGAGAGTATTATCATTTGTAATATATTTATGCAAGGCCAGAGACTATTGAGACTATTTTTGCCATTAATATGTAGATATTCTCTTAATGTGATCTCATATATCTTTATCTATATTTTCTCTAAGAATTAATTTATTGATTCTTTTTTTTTTAAAGATTTTATTTATTTATTTGTCAAAGAGAGAGGAGCTAGAGCGAGCACAAGCAGACAGAGTGGCAGGGAGAGGCAGAGGGAGAAGCAGGCTCCCTGCCAAGCAAGGAGCCTGATGTGGGACTTGATCCCAGGACACTGGGATCATAACCTGAGCTGAAGGCAGCTGCTCAACCAACTGAGCCACCCAGGCATCCCTGATTCTTATTTTTAAAAAAAGATTTTATTTATTTATTTGACAGAGAGAGAGATCACAAGTAGGCAGAGAGGCAGGGAGAGAAGGGGAAGCAGGCTCCCCACTGAGCAGAGAGTCCGATATGGGGCTCAATCCCAGGACCCTGAGATCGTGACCCGAGCTGAAGGCAGAGGCTTAACCCACAGAGCCATCCAGGCGCCCCGATTCTTATTTTTAAATAACAGTTTTGTTGAGATATAACTTACATGCCACAAAATTCACTCTTTAAAAGTGTACAATTCAGTGGGTTTTAGTATATTCACAGTGTTCACCACTGTCTATTTTTAGAAATTTTCATCACCCCAAAGAAACTCCAAGTGCATTTGCAGTCACTCCCCTTTCCCTCCTCCCCACAGACCAGTAACCACTAATATACTTCAGTCTTTGTGAATCTATGTATTTTGGACATTTCAGATAAATAAGATCATTTAGTATGTGGTCTTTTGCCACTGACTTCTTTCACTTAGCAGGTTTTCAGGGTTCATTAATGTTGCTGAATATATCAAAACTTTGTTAGTTTTTATGGCCAAATAATATGCCATTGTACAGATATACCATTTTTTATTTATCCATTCATCAATTGATGGACATTTCGTTATTTCCACCTTTTGACTATTGTGAATAATGCTGCTGTGAACATTTGTTGTCTCAGTCAACTTGGATTGCTGGAACAAATACCATAGACTTGGTGGCTTAAACAGCACTGATTTCCCATAGTCTGGAGGCTGGAAGTCTGAGGTCAGGAAGTCAGCATGATAGAGTTCTTGGTGAGGACCCTCTTCCTGATTTGCAGATGACCCCTCTTGTTATTTTCTCAGATGGCAGAAAGGGAGCTCTAGTCGTTTCCTCTTCTTATAAGGACACTAGTCCTTTCATGGGGGTTCCACTTTCATGATATCATCTAAACCTAATCACTTCCCATCTGACCCCATCTCCAAATATCATCAATCACATTGAGGATTAGGACTTAAAACCTGAATTTGGGGGACACACAAACATTCTGTCCATAGCATTTGTGAAAGAGTTTTTATGTGGACATATGTTTCACCTCTATGGTATATTCCTGTCTGAGTGTAGAACATCTGGATTATATGGTAACTCCATTGCAAAACTGTTTTCCTAAGTGGTTGTACCATTTTCTATTCCAGCAAGGTATGAGGTTTCCAGGTTCTTCGCATCCTTGTCAACACTTGTTATTGTCCATCTTTTAAAATTTTAATTATTCCAGTACATGTGAAGTGTTAGCTCATTGTGGTTTTGATTTGCATTTTCTTAATGATGAATGGTGTTCAACATTTTGTTATGTCCTTATTGACCATGTGTATTTCATCCTTGGAGAGGTGTCTATTCAAATCCTTTGCCTATTTTAAAATTGGATTATTTGGGTTTTTTATTGTTGAGTTTTAAGTGTTCTTTATTTAGATTACATGTCCTTTATCAACTATGCTTTGCAAATCCTTTCTCCCTTTCTGTGAGTTGTCTTTTCACTTTCTTGATGGTGTTGATGATTTAAAAAATTTTTCACAATATGTGACTATGGTATTTGTAAAGAAAGTTTTTGTTATCTTTTCCATTTTTATATTTATTCTCATTTCTTTTCACCACCTTATTTTGATGACCAGGAAGTATTCTGAAAAATATATCAAATAGGAGTGGTAACAGAGCACATTTTTAGTTTTTGTTTTATTTCCTCTACTTCTAAGGAGAGTGGCTGTCCTGTTTCCTTTTTTTAAAAATTGTGTTATGTTAGTCACCATAAAATACATCATTAGTTTTTGATGCAGTGTTTCAAGATTCATTGTTTATGTACAACACCCAGTGCTGCATGCAATATGTGTCCTCCTTAATACCCACCACCAGGCTCACCCATCCCCCACCTCCTCCCTTCCAAAATCCTCAGTTTGTTTCTCAGAGTCCACAGTCTCTCATGGTTCATCTCCCCCTCCGATTTCCCCCAATTCACTTTTCCTTTCCTTCTCCTTATGTTCTCCATGTTATTCCTTATGTTCCACAAGTAAGTGAAACCATATGAGAATTTACTTTCTTTGCTTGACTTATTTCACTCAGCATAATCCCCTCCAGTCGGCAGGAAGCAACAAATGTTGGAGAGGATGTGGAGGAAGGGGAACCCTCTTACACTGTTGGTGGGAATGCAAATTGGTGCAGCCACTTTGGAAAACAGTGTGGCGATTCCTCAGAATTAAAAATAGAGCTACCCTATGACCCTGCAGTTGCACTACTGGGTATTTACCGCAAAGACTGTCCTGTTTCTTCACTGTGAATACTATTAACTTCTGAGTTCAGAGTAAGTCTCTTTATCATACTAAAATTTCCTTTATTTCTCTTTCAAGGGTTAAAAACAATGAAAAATGGAAGTAATAATCTCTGTTCTCCTCATAAATAGCTACCCCGTACCCAATCTTCTTTATGACCATGCAACATTTTTATTTTGGTTATCTGTAGATTGCCCTTTCATTACGCAGTAGCAGAAACTTCTTTCTTTTCAGTAATGAATTGTAGCACTAGTAGTTTATGTCAGTGGATGAGCATCATCATTTATTGTCATGGTTGTTATTTTTTTCCCTGTGATTTGGTGAGTAAAACTGATTTTACAAAGAATAAGGTATTACTTAATGCAATCATTTAGCCAGAATTACTATTTTCTTTCTTTCTTTCTTCTTTCTTTCTTTCTTTCTTTCTTTCTTTCTTTCTTTCTTTTTCTTTCTTTTTCTTTCTTTCTTCCTTCCTTCCTTCCTTCTTTCCTTCCTTCCTTCTTTCCTTCCCTTCTCCTTCCTTCCTTCCTTCCTTCCTTCCTTCTGCAATGAGTGAAATCTATTTGCTTCCAAAGCATTGAAAACATCAGAAAGTAAGATACAGGCCAAATCCTTTCAAACCTCAAATCAGATGTAAAACTAACATCTTAAGTGTTTCTGTCTCTCTAAAAATTGCTAAGTTGGAAGACCTCATGCAAAAGTAATGCTTTTCAGAAGAGTGGATAAAACGGATGAATTGAAAGTGGATGAAACCGATGAATTTTCAAAAGACCATTCACGAGCCTCCCTTTTGGTTGCATTTCACAATATCCAAGACACCATGATGGAGAATGTGCTCTCTGTGCTTATGGAGTTGATTAGTGGCCTGTCAGAAGCCAATGGTTACTTCAGTGTGGAAGTAATACCCAATATTAAAGTTGCTGTCATGACTTTTCTCAAAAATACTGGTAAGGCAGACAATATCTTTTAACCTTTCATTGCAAATCGTGGTTGTATCCTATTTTGAGATTCCAGGCATCCCACAATGGGTTTTGTTTAAGTTGTGCTCTTTCTAACTCCCAGTAAGATGATTGCAAGGGATAACATATTATCACTTCTGATACTACCCATAACTAGCATTCATCAGGTGCCTTGCTCTATGCTAAGCACTGTGCTAAGCTTTTACTTACTTCACTCTCAAAACATATAGCACTATGAGAAAGGTACATTATTATTTCCATTTTATAGATGAAGAAGTCTAGGTTTTGAGAAAATTAAATGACTTGTTCTTAGGCACAAAGCTAGTAAGTATTTGAATCAGAATTCCAATTAGACATTCTGACTTCTGAGTGTATTTTCTTAACCACTGTGAATATACCCTCAAATTTCCCATGAACTTAATAGTTATAGGAATTTATTTTTATGATAATGACATGTCCAAATAGAGACCAAGCTATGGTAAAGTAAGAGCGGGAGAAGGAAATTAGATTTAGGAAACAATATTGTATTATAATCATCATCATCATTATTATCAGCTTACAAAGTGGTTGCATGTACTTGATTTCATTTAGAATGGTAACTGTTGATCCATGTTCCCAAAATGGTCTTAAATGGAGGCCACTGTTAATGATAGCTATGTACTCATGCGCTCACAGTAAGCAATGTGGGATAGGTTGAGGTTGACACTGAAATTTAATTTTATATAGAAATTTAGTATCTAAATTTTAATTCTTAGTTATAGCCTCTAAATCAAATTACACTTCAAAATCTGTTTTCTTTTGCTATGAAATGAAATTATAGTACCAATAAACTGATTTTTATTTGTAGGTGTCAGGACATCTGTTAATGCTTGTGTTGGACACAATAGAGTTCAGCAATTTGAGATTTTCCCAAGACTTCTGGAACTGACAAGAACCATTAGGGTTGAAAATCTGCCACCTCATATTAATAATCGTTAATAACAATTTTCTTTGAAAACTCCACAAATGGAGGAGAAGGAGTAACCAATGCGCAGCTTTTCCCAGAGGAGAGTTCAGCCCTGGTTGAGTTTTCTTACTACAAAGGTAATCAATTTCTCTTCTTTCTTGATGTTTACAGTTATTATTACCCATTTCATAGACAAATGAAGTCAGATTAGAGGCCACACAAGCGCTTAGGAAATCCATCAAAGACACCCATTCTTACTGGAATTAACTCAGGCTTTGAACAGTTCTCTGTGAAGACCTAGCCGAAAGAATTGTTTTTTGTGCCGTAACAAAAAAACAGACAGCAAAACTTCTCTTGACCTCAATTTCTTGGTAGTTAGCTGCTTCTTTTCTTTGTTTCCCTTTGCAGGAAAATTTCTCAATTGAATTTGTCATTACTCATCCCCATTTCCTCCCCTCTTATTCTTTCTTAAATCCATTCTAAAAAAGGCTTTTACCCCATCATTCCACCAAAATTATTCTTGCCAGTGACAAGAATCATTTATTGCTAAACTCACTAGCCACTTAGCAGTCCTCATTTTACTTGATCTCTTAGTAGCATTCGACTTAATATTCAATGGCTCCTTCCAAATGCATTTTCTCCACTTGCTGCTAGGATGCCACACTTTGGGTTTTTTGTTTTTGTTTTTGTTTTTGTACCTCTGTAGCTGCTCATTCTCATTCTTTTTTTTTAAGATTTTATTTTATTTATTTGATAGAGAGAGAGAGAGCACATGCACGCACGCATAAGCAGGAGGGGCAGCAGGCAGAGGAGAGGACAAGCAGGCTCTCTGAAGAGCAGGGAGCCTGATGAGGGATTCCATCCCAGGACCCTGGGATCGTGACCAGAGCAGATGCTTTACTGACTAAGCCACCCAGGTGCTCCTCATTCTCATTTTTTCCTCATTTACCTTCTTTTCTTCAGCTCTGAAGGTAGAGCTCAGTTTCTTTCTTCTTTTTGTCTTCACTCAGTTCCTGGGAGGTTTAATGGCTTTAAATACTGTCTATATATCCATGACTCCCAGTTCATATCTGCTGTCAATACTCTCTCATGAACTCCAATGTCTACACTCACTGCATACTAGACTTCTTCACCTGGTTGTCTAAAAGTATATGATACAAATATAACATGTCCAAGACAAAACTCCCATCCTCCTCACTCTACGCGACCAACCTACATTATCCACAGGCTTCCCGATTTCAGTTGATAGCAACTTCATCCTAGTTGCTCAGACCAAAACCTGGGAGTCTCTCATATCCCATTCCCAGTTCTTTAGGAAACCCTGTTCACTTTACCTTTGAGATGTATTCAGAATCTGATCACTCCTCAAGGAAGACAGTAAGAATTTAGAAAATTAAAAGAACCATTTTAAAGGTAGTAACAATCTCCCAAAGAACTTAAGCCACAAAACAGTTTATATTTTAGATAATATGATGAAAGAAATACCATTTTTAATGGCCATACTTCACCGGCACCCCCCTTCCCAACTATGATCTTCAGGAAGAGTTGATGAAGCCAAGAAGTATCCCTGAAATTACAGGTGGGGATAGAAGACTTGTTGTGGGGTAGGGAGTGCTAGGAAATGAATGAGGTCAAGAGAAGAGAAGCAGAAATTAGGATCTTCCTCACATAGCTTTGAAGGAAACCAGTCAGTCAGGAAAGCCAGCAATTGAGATGGTCTCTGGAGAGAAAAGAAGTTCAACTTTCAATAATGGTTTAAGAAGCTAATAGTCTTAGGACCAGACTAAAATAATATCTGATACTTTATACAGCAAGGAATTGATAACATTGGACATTTTTTAGTTGGTACTTTGTGAAAAGACAAACATTTGGTATCCCTCACTTAGCAGACTTCTACATTTAAAACTGTTTCATTCTTGGGACTCCTACCAACCTCCCAAAGTTGCAAAATATGAAGGCCCATCTCTCTTCACGTACTTGCCACCTGAGCCTGAAGAGTATTGACATCTGAAGAGCATTTTTTTTTTTAACAGTTTTTTATGGGTATACTCTGGTAAATGGTTAATATCTAAGCATATTCAGCACCTCTGGAGTTAACAGGGTTAGTTGAGAGCCTCAGTCTGCACTCCAGCCATTGTGAGCTGAAGAAGCCAGCAGGGAAGGCAGAGTGATATAGAGTGTAGTGCAACAGTTTACAAACTTCTTGTAAACCACAATGCACCCTAAATAGATATATATAGTTTATATCCCAACCCATACCTGTTTTGCAAACAAAAACATTTGCTGCAATTTGGAAAAAAAGTTCTGCTACAACATGCATTTCTTGCTAGGGAACTGATGTACTCTATTTTCGATTTTATTTTGTTTTGTTTTTGCTTGGTCGGGTTTTGAGTTTTGTTTTGTTTTTTGTTTTTAATTTTTTGTAAGATCCTTAAACATTCATATTGCTGGTATAGTTATTAGAGGTTGGCTTTCAGCAATGACTCTGACACAAAGGGTGGGGGGGAGAGGTTTTAACCTTATCCCTGCTATCTCCACTAGCCAGCCTCTTCAAGCCATCCTAAATAAGCATGCAGTCTGTGTTAGTTTTTTATTGCTGCATACCAAAGTTAGTGGCTTTACATAGCAAGCATTTATTGTCTTATACTTTCTGAAGGCCAGGAATTTGGGGGCAGCTTAATTGGGTAATCCTGGCTGAAGATCTCTCATGAGGTTCCTATCAACCTGTTCATCAGGGCTGTAATCATCAGAAGGCTTGATGAGAACTGGAGGGTTTCTTCTACCTTTGCTCACATAACTGCTGCCAGTGGCTTCAGTTCCTTGCCACTAGTGCGTGTCCGCATGGGTGCTCATGACATGGCAGCTGGCTGCCCCCAGACTGAGTTATCTGAGGGGGTGCGGAGGGCTATAAGTGCCTTTTGTAATCAAGCCTCTGAAGGGATATAGCATCACTTGTGCCATATTCTGTTGGTCACAAATGGTCACACATATTCTGTATCACAACTCTGATACAATATGGAAGGAAACTATTCAAAGGCATGATTACCAAGTGGTAGGGATCATTGGGTGCCATCTTACTTACACAGTCCAAGAAAGTACAGCTTCAAGACAAGTTCCATTTATCACCCCCTACTTCTAGGCAGATTGTCACACCTAAGCCTTCTCTATCAAAATAGAGCACCACTGGCCTTTAGAATCCCAAAGGTATATATTTATTTATTTTTCATTTCTTATTTTGAAAAAAGATTTTATTTATTTATTTATTTATTGCTTATTTATGAAAGAGAGAGAGAGAGAGAGAAACAGAGAGGGGGAGGGGCAGAGAGAGAGGGAGAGAGAGAATCTTAAGCAGGCTCTGCATTGAGCATAGATCCCAATGTGGAGCTCGATCTCGTGAGCCCAAGATCATGACCTGAGCTGAAATAAAGAGTCAGAAGCTTAACTGACTGAGCCACCCAGGGACCCCCAAAGGTATATATTTAAATCCTTCTGTAATTAGCTGGATAACAATGGCAACATTACTTCCTTATTCTCTGTTTCCTCATTTAAAAAGTGGAGATAAAACCTATTTCACAGGGTCACTGTGAAGATTAAATTAAGTAGGATAATATTTGTTAACTGACACATACCAGGTATTCAATCGATAAAGATATTATAATTATCAAAGTAGGAAAGAATGGAAAACACAAGTTATTAATTTGATGAGAAATGATAGATATGAATTGTGCTTTAGATAGCTATATGTCTCAGCTGCTACAGGGTCAAGTATTATTACTAAGTGGTGTTTGAATAGTTCACTGTCCTTTGTTTTGATGTTGTTATGACTTCCGACAAAAAAGTACTGTAACAAACTATTTCTACAAGGTAACATGCACTGGAAATAGACTCGTGAATTTCATTTAAAAAAAAAATGCCCCCTGCACCTCTCAAAACACAAAATAGTTCAGATGTAAAATCAGACCACCAAGTGATTGTCCCTCTTCTGCTTGGCTGCAAACTCACTGTTCCCCAAGTTGACTCATTCTACCTTAGGACAGTACTAATCACCAAAAATAAATAAATAAATAAATAAATAATAAAAAGAAAAAAAAATAGCATTGTATGAAGCCCAAACATATTTTACTTACTATCCTTGCTCTTCCTTTTAGGGTTGTAGAAATAAATCCTTTATAAGATAGTCCTTCCGATGTTTAAGGGTAACTATTGTGTGTGGCTCCCTGCATTCCATCCTACCTAATATCTGTACTTCTGCAAGTTAAATATATTCAGTTCCTTTTTTTTATCCTCAAGTGATATGGTTTTGAATCCTTTTACAGCATCAGTTTCCCTCTTCTGAACACCATAGCTAGTTTTCATAATCCCTTTGCAAAGTTTAGCACCTTGAACAAAATACAATACGCCAGGCATTGCCTGTTTTTACCAGTGAGAAGAATAGGATTATTATTCACCATACCTATTCTTGTTATTATGTTTTTCTTATTATAGCCCCACATCTCATCACTACCCATTTTTAAATGAATAGAGTTTATTTTTAGAGCAGTTTTAGGCTTAACAAACATTTAAACAGAAAGTAAGGATAATTCTTCCTGCCCCCAGTTTCCCTAATACTAAGATATTGGATTAATGATACCTTTGTTAACAATTGATGAAAAGTATCGCTACATTATTATTAACTAAAGTCCATTATATTAGAGTTCACTCTTTGTGTTGGATGATTCTCTGGGTTTTGACAAATGCACAGGGTCGTGTGTCCTCAGTAACAGTTGCATATGGAATAATTTCAGTGCCCTGAAAATCCCCTGTGCTCCAGCTATCCATCCCTCCCTCCCTCCTCCAAATTGCAGGCAGCCACTGATTTTTTTTTTAAGATTTTATTTATTTATTTGACAGAGAGGGATCACAAGTAGGCAGAGAGAGAGAGGGGAAAGCAGGCTCCCTGCCGGGCAGAGAGCCCAATGCAGGGCTCGATCCCAGGACCCTGAGATCATGACCTGAGCCAAAGGCAGAGGCTTAACCCACTGAGCCACTCAGGTGCCCCAGCCACTGATACTTTTAATGTCTCCACAGTTTTGCCTTTTCCAAAATGTCATGTAGCTGGAATTATATAATATGTAGCCTTTCAGATGGGCTCCTTTGCTTAACAATAGGCATTATATTTTTTCCATGTCTTTTGGTAGCTTCATAGCTCTTTTCTTTTTCTCTGAATAATATTCTGTTTTATGGAGGCATCATGTCCATTATTTATCCATTCATTTATTGAAGGACATCTTGGTTGCTTCTAAGTTTTGGCAATAATGAATAAAGCTCATGTGCAGGTTTGTGTGGGCATATGTTTGCAAATCATTTAGGTAAATACCACAAAACACAAATGCTGGATCCTATGGTAAGAGTATGTTTAGTTTTGTAAGAAACTGCCAGACTGTCTTCCGAAGTGGCTGTACCATGTTGCAGAATTAGAGTTCCTGTTGCTCCATGTTCTTTCCAGCGTTTGGTGACTTTTTTTTCTTCTTAAATACAGCTACATCACTGTTGATTTATACAGAATTTGTCATCAGTCAAAATCCCTTAGATATTTTTGTATGACTTAGCTGCTAAGCCACATTCTCTTTCTCCCAAACTTGTGCAGTTACTCCTTGGACCTCGCTTAGTGCTTTTCCTTCCTTTTTGATGCTTCTCCAGATGTGCCAGAGTCTCTTTTACTTATTAGGTTCACTCACAGTCCAGCTGCTGTATATATATTGCTGTGAAGGACTCACACTTACAATCTTCTCCAGAGGGATTGCCTTTAGCAGACTAAAGGTCTGGAGTCTGGAGGTGCCTGGGAGTTTATATTCATCACCCAACCAGGATGACCCATAGACAATGAACTGATTGGTATGCAGGCGCAAAAACACAGCTCCCTGTCTCAAGGTTGGGACAACACCATGATGTAATTTGTATACTCCAGAGTCCTTGCAGGATCAGGCAGAAACTAGTTTTACTTAAACCACATTCTCTGTCTTTATCTCTCACTTCCTACATGTTTTTCCTGAGGGTACAACTTTAATAATTCAATTGCACATGAATCCTCATCTCAGGCTCTGCATCTAGGGAATCAGACCTAATTTTATTACTTTTTTTTATTATTACTGCACACAATTGTTTTTGATGTTTTTAGCTATTGTAACTATTAAAGAATAGTATTGTATTTGCTTCTTTTTAAAAAAGATTTATTTATTTTGAGAGAGAGAGAGAGCACCCATGCAGGGGGTGGGACAGAGGGAAAGAATCTCAAGCAGCTTCCTTGTTGAACGTGGAGCCCATGGCAGGGCTCAATTTCACAACCCTGAGATCATTACCTGGGTAGAAGGCAAGAGTTGGATGCTCAAACAACTGAACCACCCCAGTGCCTCAATATTGTATTTATTTCTAAAAGTTCATTTTTTAAAAGATTTTATTTATTTATTTGAGAGAGAGAGAGAGAGAGAGAGAGAGAGGGAGAGCGTGCACAAGCAGGTGGAGGGGCAGAGGGAGAAGCAAACTCTTTGCTGAGCAGGGAGCAGATGGGAGGCTGGATCCCAGGTCCCTGGGGTCATGACCTGAGCCCAAGGCAGATGCTTAACTAACTGAGCCAACCAGGCACTCCCTAACAGTTCATTTTTAACTACTCATGCATTATTTTGTGTATTTATTGAATCTTTAAGAGCCAGGTTTTTGGTTTTTTTTTTCCAAAAAAAAAAAAAAATCACCTCTCCAATATTATAATGAATGTCAGTGGGAAAATCAGATTGATTGTACAAACCTTCACTGCAAAGTAATTATTAATGGAATAGATCTATTCCATTAGGTGAGGATTAGCTCCATTGCATTCATGAATACCACATCTTTCACTGAGCTGTTTGACAGTGGTACCATTTTAGGTAGACATACTATATTTCAGAGTCTCATTAGTATCAGGATTTCTTTCTTTTTTCTTTATTAAAGATTTTTGTTTATTTATTTGACAGAGAGACACAGTGAGAGAGGGAACACAAGCAGGGGAAGTGACAGAGGGAGAAGTAGGCTTCCTGCTGAGCAGGGAGCCCAAAGCGGGGCGTGATCCCAGGACCCTGGGATCATGACCTGAGCCATAGGCAGACGCCCAATGACAGAGCCACCCAGGCACCCCAATATCAGGATTTCTTTTTATGCCAAAGATTTTGTCTGAATACTTGCCTTTTGCTTTTTATTTTTTAGTGGTGGACACCTGCTTGGGCTAAGAGCCTGTCTTCAGTGAAAGGCCCATCTCTGTTTCCCATATGATGTGACTTTGGTCGTAGCCTTGTATGAAAAAGAGAAGCCACTGAGAAAGTTGCCAGCACCATTTCTGGTGGCTCTGGATCCTTTCATATGAAGATCTTGCAGAAGAAGCATCACCTGATTGAAACAATAAATTATAAAGGGACAGTGTCCTGTGAGGTAACATGGCCCCAAGTCAGCTGTTAAGGAGTTAGAAGTATCATTCAGATCTGTGGCCACTGAACTCAAGGAAGAACAAAGATCAATATAATCAAGACCTGGAATGAGGATATTTCTAAAGACTTCTGCCATATCTTTTCTAAATATCAAGTCACCAAATTGAATGTGAAGTCAGTGCTATGGGAAGACATAAAAAACAGTAGAGGATGATGGGATTTGGATTGAGTTTGATATATTCAAGAAGATCATGATAACAGGTTGTTTGGAGGAGGTGAAAAGAATTCACAACAATTAAAGACACCAGCCATAACACTGAGAAGGAAAAAACAAAATTTGACAGGGAATGTGGCTGGTTCTTTTCTGGTCTTCATATCAGTGCTTTGAAAGAGTCTGTACCAAAGGAATTCTCGGGGTGGGAGTTCATTAATCATGCTTGCACCAAACATACCAGAGTCCATGAAGGAGAGTACAAAGAATGAAATTCCTGAGCTAGCGAAAAGGACTGTTCAAGAAGTGCATTCCCAGTTCTTCCGGGGTTTTCTGTTTTTTTATAGAAAGTAGAGTGTGGAAAATTCTCTAACATTGTTTTGTTTTAAGCAAAGAAAACTCGTAACCTTTTTGAGTTAGATCAGGCATGAAAAGTACATTTCATTTCATGGGTTACTTAGCACTGAGAGACAGTTGTTTCCTGGGGCTCTGTGTTGACTAAGACTCTGAAACTAGCTGGATTGATTGAAAAAGAGTGTTGATACCAATTAACACTGTCACAGGTGTGGATGATGAGGTATAGGGGGATGGGGAGGTGATGTGCACCATGTTTTTACCATAGGTAAGTGCGAAAATACAGTCAGATCAGTTCCTCTTCATAGTTTCTCTGAAGAGCAGAGTAAAGGATTGTGCCTTCATCAGCTACTAGTTTGACTTTGAGTAAGTGGTTTCATCTCTGTACACTGGATTTTCTCTTTCCCCCAGGAGAATGAAGTTTCTGTACTGGATGATCTGTGATGATCTTTTAAATTCTAAAACTGGCTGTCTCGGGGCACCTGGATGGCTCAGTGGGTTAAAGCCTCTGCCTTCGGCTCAGCTCATGATCCCGGGTTCCTGGGATCAAGCCCTGCGTCATCGGGCTTTCCGCTCAGCAGGGAGCCTGCTTCCTCCTCTCTCTCTCTGCCTGCCTCTCTGCCTACTTGTGATCTGTCAAATAAATAAATAAAATCTTAAAAAAAAATAAAATAAAACTGGCTGTCTAGTAGTCAAAACTACAAACGCATTATGCGTAGAACTGAGGGGTGTGTCTTAGTTTGGGTTTCCCCAGAAGAGAACCTGAAACAGGATTCAAGTGCAAATGATCTAAATAGGGAAGTAAAAGATACTAATAGGCTGTGTTACCAAATCAGTTACCACTTAATCTCACTGGGAAAACTCAGAGTGAGTCCTACCTGGGAGGCACGGTTGCTCCCTGGTTTTAAACGAACTGTCAATCATTGGATGAGGGCTTGAGCGGGTGGGAGGGTGGCTTAATTTACCTGCAATTCCTCTCTGCTGCGCCTACAAGCAAAGCCGGCTTTGGCACTACAGAAGGTCTTCAGACAAGAAATACAATGGGAGGGGCACCTGGGTGGTTCGTTGGTTGAGCGTCAGACTCTTGATTTCAGCTGAGGTCATGATCTCAGGGTCATGGGATTAAGCCCCAAATTGGGCTTAGCACTGAACCTGGAGCCTGCTTAAGATTTTCTTTCTTCTTCTCCTGCTCCTCCTCTATCTCTAAAAAAAAAAAAAAAAAAAAAAAGGAAAGAAATAAAGACAGCTGGAAATATGACCAGAGTGCCCTTAAATTGTAAGAGCCAGGGGGTATGAACAGGGTCTGCTAAGCTAGAATTGGGGAATAAGTAAAAGAGCTCACAGGCAACTGGAGTATTAAATACAGTATACTAAAAAAATTGTGGTAACAAATTATTTGCTTTTGAATCTTAAGGTTGGATTATGAGTTGAGTTAGAGAGGTGTGGAATCTAATAGCTATTTTCTGTTTGGAAACCTAAGAGGAAAGTCTCCAGATAGCGTTGCCTGGTAATTATTTTTACTGTTTTCTCCACAGTCCAAAGACCAAGTCAGCGGGAAAAATTGTCTTGCGGATGGAGATGAGATAGCCTCAGCCCAAACCACAGAAGGTCTAAACCTCATATTAATGGCTGGAAATGTTATTAATTTCCAGGTAAGTGGCGTTATTGAGCAAATCCAATAAGAAACACTGGGGTCTGATTCACTGATTCTATGACTTAAGGTCACAACAGACCCCACAACAGACCATTTTGAATTTTATCTCACCCAGTTAGTGGTACAATCTAGTTAAGATAGAAATTCCATATCCTTATCTTATAAACGAGGAAACTGAGGTCTTTTCACTACATAGTCTGTTAGGTTGATTATTAAACTCTTTTCATCCCTGTCAGGGTACTTATTCTCATCATTGGATGGTGCCATATAAACTTTGGAGTCCTCTAACTCTTCTCTGAGTTCCTTTCTCTATCCAACTAGTTTCCCAGCCTCCTCACACCCTCTCTCTTGTGTATTCCCTTTCATTTTCATTGTCCTTCAGCATCCCTAGTCACCTCTCTTACCCTCCAGTCTGCCCTCTCCCTAGCTGTTTGACGCATGTTCATCAGGTGCTTCCTCCTGCCTGTATCAGAAAGTCCAAAAAATGAGAGCTCTCAGAGTCTTCCACGGCCTGGCCCCAAATCTCTTTCCAGCCCTGTCTCTCACCATTAGCACTCTCTGTTAGCTAAATTGGACTACTTTCTGACCTTTCTCAATTCTATGTGTTTTCTCAAATATTCACCCACCCAGAATCCTTATTGCTTTCTTTCTCCCTGTCCCAGCTTCATTCCTTATCCTCTTTTTTTTTCCCAAGATTTTATTTATTCATTTGAGAGAGGGAGAGAAAGACACACAAACAAGAGACAGAGACAGAGGAAGCACAAGCAGGGGAAGAGGCAGAGGGAGAGGGAGAAGCAGACTCCCTACTGAGCAGGGAGCCTGATGTGGGACCTAGAGATCATGACCTGAGTGGAAGGAAGACACTCAACTGACTGAGCCACCCAGGTGCCCCATCCCTTATCCTCTTTGTAAAGACTTTACTAAGCAGTCCAATCTAAAGGATTCCTGCCGTATTTGAAATTCTATAGCAATTACTAATTGTATTTTTTTTAACACAGAGTTTCTTTCGATTATCTTGAACTGATTTAAACATTAAGTATATTTTACTGTTTTACATGTTAATATATTACTTCCCCAAACTGTGTAGGAATCAGTAAGTAGAGAGTAGGGTGAAGGTGGGCTGGATCTTGTTTTTTTTTTTTTTTTTTTTTTGGCAAGCTCATTTACTTTTGTCCCTGCGAGGAGCTTCTCAGGTCCTAAGATTAGTTTATGTTAAGTAACCTCATATAAGATTGAGGTGGACCCATGAGAGTGAGAAATGAAACTATTAAGTGGCCCAATGACATAAAAACCTTTTAATTTACGATGAAGAAGTACTCCCCAAGGAATCAGAATACTCAAAATCCACATGATCAAAGCATTCTCCCCCCCAAATTTGAATATGAAATCAGAATAAATGGAGTTGGATGAATTGAATACTTAATATCTATTGGCATCATGTCATGACCCCATCTCACCAAAGGGATAGCCTCAGCAGGCATTGGAGAACTCTTGATACTCCTGGACAGGCTTGAGGGGACACTGCCTACCTTCACCTCAATGACTTTCCTTTATCTAGGCCTTCAGGGCTGATCAGACCCCACCCCCCTACCCTTCAGAAGGACCCATTCTTTCTTTAGGTATGTTAATAAAGTCAGAACAATTACTCTCAGTTCCTACCAGCCTAAAAGCAACTCTTTCTTCCAAGGTCTCTCTCAACATTCTGTGTTTTTGTCTCTGTCTGTCTCACTATCTTCCTCTTTCTGCGTCTACCTTTTATTCAGATTCTCCTTCTTTGTCTATGGTCTCTGATTTGCTCATTTTCATAGCTCTACTCCGACTCATCACATGTTGACTTGACTTTGGTGGGTGATGTATTTCCTTTATTTCTAAGTTTTGGGGCTCATCTCATTATGGTAATAATAGATTGTGAGCCCCCCAGGGTAGGGTTGACAGGTCAGTATGACAGGCAAAACATGTCTTATGCATTACCCCACAATACTTGGCAAGTCATAGGTGCTTAATAATTACTGATTCAATCTCTAACAAAATGTTGCTGTTTTCCTTAAGGCCCATGTGATTGTCAACACTGTTTCCCAGACACTTCAACTTGGACATGGACTGCTATCTCGGGCTATTTTGCAGAAAGCTGGTCCAAATCTCCAGGAAGAGTTGTATGCTGTCAAGCAGGGAACAGTGGAGAAAAGAGGTAGCATATTCATAACAAGTGGCCATAATCTGAACTGCCAAGCTGTCTTCCATGTCGTGGCACCAACTTGGGATAATGCAGCAGGGCGCTCTCAGCAGGTAGAGAAAATCCTTCATTCTCTACTTCATTGGTAGCTTTGGTAGTCTTCTGGCACTGTAGAGATCTGTGGTTCTCAAGCAAAGTGAATGTATTCCCCAGGGGACCTTTGGCTTGTTACATCGGTTACTGATCAAGAGGAAGCGGGGGCCAGGGATGCGGCTAAATGTCCTACAATGTATACATCGGCCTCCACAATGCAAACTTTTCTGGACAAGGTTGAGAAACCCTAGTATTGATTGGACCTTGTCCATTTATTGACATCTTTATTACGTTCTGTAAACAGTCCATCATAGCTACCAGTGATTTCAGAATAATTGACCCTTGAAAGTAGTAACCATCCTGGGGTTCTCCAGGAATGATATCTGAAATTAGTGTAATCATCCTTCAGTATGACAAGATGCAACCAAAGCTGTGGTGAAGAATGAGGGGTCATTGCTCTTCTTTTGATGACTTCTCACCTCTACTCCCAACTTTTTTTTTTCAGAATATGAAAGTAATACTAGTATATTGCAGGAAATACAGAAAGTACAAAGACCAAAATAAAAATTATAATCCGGCCACCTGGAAATGAATGTGGTTAACATTTTATTGTATTCTCTTCAGGGCAATTTTATGAATACATATTTCTTAGTTGGGATTCCCTTCCAGACCTTTTTTTAATCCTGCTTTTTAAAAAAAATTAACAAACATTTATCCAATGTCCATAAACATTGCTTTTAATTGCAACAAGACACCATTGTTTATGTAGCCATTCCCATACTATTGGAGCCTCCTTCCTGCATGAATTGCAATTTCTCTGGAACATCCTCTCTCCTCTTGTTTTCCCTTTCTGACTCCCTAGACCCAGACAAAGCCAGGAATAGCAGAGGGGACCTAGTCACAGTTGCTGGAGCCATAGCTCTTTCTGCTTCCTGCCAGCTTAAGCCCTAACTTAGATGAATGTATTTTGTACATTTCAGATCATGGCAAATATAATCAAGAAATGTTTGGCAACTGTAGAAGAGTTATCTTTTTCATCCATCGTATTTCCCATGATTGGAACAGGAAATTTGAGATTTCCCAAAGCTATTTTTGCTAACCTAATCCTTTCGGAATTGTTCGAATTTAGTAGCAGAAGCTGGCGGAAAACCTTACAAAAAGTTTACTTGCTGGTACATCTAGGTGATGATGAAATCCAGCAGGTATGGTTACATATCTCTTCTCATCATTCTGACAAGTGAACCTAAGTGCAACCAGATGTCTTTGTGGATCTGTAAATAATAATGTTTTCACTTCCCTGTCCATAAGTGTTGGTTGCTGTGGGGGGGGGGGTTGTCATAAGACTTTATGAGATAATGCTGATAACTCATACAGTCCTTCCTAGACAGTTTAGCAAGAGATAAGATAATTGTACTTAAATTCCTAGGAGGAAGCCGAAAGTCATTGGCATAAAAGTGGCCCAGACATTTTAACACTGACTGAATGAAGCCCAAGTTATGGCTCTGTTTATAGAGAAAAGACCAAATAAGAGAAACCTCAAGAATTTAAGGGTTTTATGGATAGAGCACAGCCCGTCTATAGAAGTCTATGAGGGTCTAAAGCTAGAAATAACAGTACAGTATTCAGTAGCAGAGAGGCAGTCAAAGCACATGAACTAAGCACTGAGCCCCCTACACCAGCCTTGTAAATGTTGACCTAGAGCTGGTTGGCCCAGTCTGAGTACCAAAATCTTGTTCTCATTCTTGAAAAGTTATATTGATTTTATAAATTGTGCATAGTTATAGCAAAAATGCAAACAGTATAGAAGTGCAAAGAAGAAAGGTACACATAGTTTTAAATTCCAGTTTTGCCACTTAAAGGTTGAGGGAGGCCACCTCTCTGAATTTCGGTTTTATTGTGTGTCAAGTGAATGTGGCAAGCACGCCTCTCAAACTCGATGTGGAAACTAAGAGAAGATGTATTTGACATGTTTTGTGCGGTGTCTAGCATGTAGCATGGCTCAAACCTGGTTGCAGAAGTAGTTATTACCTTTTTGTTATCTGACTTTAAGGGCTATTGTTACAAATTACGAACATTAGCACTTTAAAAAGATAGCAAATATAAGGTTCTTTTCTGAGTTCTTAGTTACTCTCAGGCGTCTGGGATAGAATTGTGGTCTTCCCATGAAATAAAGGAAATCAGCACTGGTATTTATTGAGAAAATGCCTAGGTTCGATGGCAATCCTGTAATGAAAAAGTCTCTGGGTAAGAGGAAATCTAGGGAGAACTATTGTTTCTAATTGATGTCTGGTGATCAGTACTACAAAGAATTGGATTAATATATTTACAGAACATTGTTGTAGTCAGTAACTATATTTCTTTCTATTTCCAGGCATTTTTAGAGGAATTCACTAAAGGGTTGTATGGAAATCCCAACAAGGACAGGATTCTCACAACTGAAGGTAACCAAGGTCTGGCAAAGTTGTTCTGCTCAGAAAATATTTTGCTCTGCCTAGTGGTTCTTCAGTGGTAGCTGACATCAATAGAAGGAGACAAAGTTAATTCACATGCGGGACAGATCAGTGATGAAGGAGGTGTTAGAGCATGTTCCACTGTCTGAGCACACAAAGAATAAGTTATGTGGATACGTGCTGCCGCACCCCGCAGACTCTAAGCCTAGGGTGGGTCATGTCCGGTGAGTCCAGAGAAAAGACCCAGAGACACCAATGGCGATACAGGTCTACTAGCGGAACTATGTACAGGGAGTCTGGAGTGACAGCCTCCACTGCCAGGATCTACACACAGCAAGTTTTTATATCTTAGCTACTCACCCTAGCAACTGTTAAGGACCTGTCCCCCTCCTTGCACGGCCAGCATTTCCAAGGAGATCAAGGCCTGCCTCTTGGACAGTCATCATTATAAGAGAGATGTACAGGGCTGGTCACCTCCCCCCATACCCAGCCCCTGACCTTGAACACTGAACAACATGCTTTTCTGCATGTTCTGCTTGGTGGGAATATAGAGGGAGGACGGGATCTCTACATTTTCAAGACCGTGATTAACAGGGGCCTTTGGGGTATGCTTGCACAAACTAGCAATCCAGCGTGTACCATAACAGATGTGAACCAAATCTGGTGAGGCCAGAGTTTCTCAGATATGATAATGAAAGATAACTGAGGATGGAGGAGGGGGGCGGTGGCCTGGGGTGAGAGCAGCGACCGCCCTGCACCTTCCTTGATCATCCGCCGTGCGCTGCTTCACCTGCAGCAAGATTCTATCACAAAGTAAAGGCCTACCTGGGGCTGCTATGGGCTGAGTGCACGGAGGGGGACTCCCTGGACAGGCTGGGTCTGAAGCACTGCTGTTGCCTCCACATGCCATTGGCTCACGTGCTTATGATCAAAAAGCTGTGACCCTGCAGAGGTGACAGTGCTGGAGCCCGTCCACATGCTGACCACAGGCAGCTGGGTCTTGCCCAGAGTTCATTCCATGGAGGGGTGGGTAGCTGAGAGCAGTGCCCTCCCTCCCACAGCCTCCTGGGCGTGTGTCCTCCGGCTCTGAGGGAACCATCCAGTAAAGGTCTTGAAGAACCACACCGCCACACACAGATAACTAAAATGTGGATGCACACTGAACTCTGATTGCTTTTCTATATATATAATTTAATCTATACAGTGGCCTCCCGGGTGGGTGATTCTCTTGCCACTGCATCACATGGAAAAGGAGACTGAAAGGGACGAATAGAAAAGACACAGCTAAGTTATAAAGCCTCAGAGTGGACAGTAACATTATGCCAACACGGTAAGGCTGATTTCCTCAGAGCAGCCTTGATCCTGTTATGCCAGTGAGATGCGAAGCCACAGGAAAGCTCCTATGTGAAGTTAGTGAGCTGTTATTTAACCCTGGACGGGGGTGCCTGGGTGGCTCAGTTGGCTGAGCATCTGACTCCTGATTTCAGCTCAGGTCATGATCTCAGGGTTGTGAGGTCGAGCCCCGCATTGGACTCCATGCTGGTGCAGAGTCTGCTTGAGATCCTCTCCCTCTGTACCCCACCCCTGGCCCCCTGCCCTGCTCCAACATGTGCATATGTGCTCTCTATCTCAAATAAATAAAAATAAATCTTCCCCCCAAAATAATTGAACAAATGACCTCCACACCGAGATCATTTCCCTTTTCTGCAAAATGGAAGTAAAAGAATCACCTGGAGGGACATACTTTCTGTCATAAGACAAATAAATTCTGGAGACCGAATGCACAGCATAGAGCTGGAGTTAATAATAATGTTCTGTATTTTCGAAGCTCACTAAGAGAGCAGATCCCGGGCGTTCTCACCACTCGCACGTGCACGCACGCACACACACACCCTCCCCACACCAAATGGTAACTGTGGGAAATGATGGGTGTGCTATCAGCCCAATTGGACAATCATTTCATAGCGTACGTTCATGTCGAGAGTCACATTGTACACCTTGAATATTTACATTTCTTATTTGTCATAGTTCAAAAAAGCTTGAAAAAAAGTTTCCCAGAGACATGAGCATGACATGAAGGGACACTTGGCCTTCTATCCTTCCTCATGCCTTTCTCATGAGGCTGCGGCAACTTTTGCAGACAAGCTGACGGTCCAGTCAGGTGTTCCTGCTTCATCCTATCTAACTGAGAAATTGATCCTCCTCCTGCCACGAAGCTTTATTTTTTCATTTCCTTAAAAAAGAAAACCCATCCAGGCATGGTACAGTTTGGGCTTATGTAGGTGGGAAGAAAGAAGACTGGGAAGAGAACAGTGGCCCCTTGTTGTTCATTCTCCAGCTACTCTTTCGTTTGCTTGCTTTTTTTTCAGGGGCCTTCAGCCCTATCTCCAGCCCTGGAATCATTTCATATGGAATGAAAATCGGTGCAATTACTTTCCAGATTGCTACTGGAGATATTAGCAAAGAAAAGGCAGATGTGATTGTAAACTCAACAATAAGAACATTTAATCTGAAATCAGGTACTTTATTTAAGCAATGTACGTGATTGTAACTATTAACATGACTCATGTGTGGGAAGGAAATTGTGGCTAATGTTGCCCGAGTAGAAGAGTGTTGCTGGACATATGTAGGCCCTGGAATCAGAAAGACCTGGGTTTGAATCCCAGCTCTGCCACTTACCATTGTGTGGCTTTGGGACAATCACTTTATCCCCTCTGAGCCTCAGTTCCTCTGCCTGTCAAATGTTGATTTCCCGGAGGATTAGATGGGGCACAGCAATGTGAAGATGAGGTGGGAGCCATGCACTGGACTTAGTCTAGGTTAGCTCTCATCCCCTTTCTAGCTCTGAACCATCAAAATTCCACACTTCTAATTTAATAAGTTTATTTTATTTTTATTTCCCTTTCTATGTAACTGAGTTGGCACTCATATCTCACTTCTTATAATCTTCCTTATGTTACACTGACCCAGAAATGAAATTCAACCCCTTTTTCTTGATTTTTGCTGGAATGTCTGAACACCTCCAGTGAAGGAGCATCTTTGAGCATGTCCTCCCCACATGTCTATTTGTGTACAACTTGCATACATATACTCTCATGTTAATATACTTTTATTACAATGTATTAAATTTTAAATTAAAAGGGTAAGATAAAACATAAATAGAAAGAGAAGTTTCAATATTTTCTAAGCTGCAAAATACTATAGCACTTACTATGTAGGAAATGGCTATGTAGACTATCCATCCAATGTATTGGTCATTCACAAATGCAGACATAAAGGACATTCAATTATGTAAAATGTGACAGGTTGAACATAGGCATTTTTACCTGCCTTCTTTTAAAATTCCATTAAAGCAACAGTAAAGGAAATAAAAGGGTGTAAACCCAAAAGGAAAAAGAGAGCTGGAGGAAAACCAATAATGAACAAGACACAGCAGTGTATTTTTAGAATATGAGAAGAAGCTAGCCCGTGGTGAAAACTTAGAATATGCAGGAGAGAATGGTAGTCCCTAGAGACACAGAAGTTGGAGCAGCAGGTACCTGGGAAGGCAGGGGACAAGGAAAAGATGGAAACAGAATCAGATGCAATTCTGTATGAGCAACACTTAGACCCCTTTATTCTATTCTCCATCCATCTGATGCCCCAGTAACTTCTCTTGGTCTTCCCTGGCCAGAGATGGGAGGTTTATTCTGTAGGGAAACCAACCAGAGAGATTCTGGACTTAGAACAGCAGGCACAGGTGAGATGAGAGTGGGAGCTAGACAGTGTTCAAGTGAAAGCTTCGTTACTGAACAGTGAGGTCCAGCCCCGTCCCCGTGCAGCTCTCAGAATGGCAGACGGGTTTATGCCCTCCGAGACAGGAGATTGGAGGATCCTTCTGGAGAGAAACCAGCTGCCCTGAAGTCTAGTATTTACCGCCTTCTTACCTTACACTAAAGCCTCCTGGTTGGCAAGCCTCCTTTCAGGGTGCTCCCACACTCACTCTGAATAGGAATGGACTGGTGAGTGTCACCTGATAATTGAGGAAAATCTCCATTCTTGCTAAGTCAGAGACCAAAACAAATGCCTCCAAAAAGGTATTTTTTAAAAAGAGACAATTCATAACACACATATATAATCAAGGAGACCTAGATAGATGATAGATAGGTAGATAAATAGATAGAGGATAGATTGATCTTCATAATGATAAATGATATAATGATAAGATAACTAAAAATTATTCAGTGCTTTCAGTGGGTCAGATTCCGCACGAAGCATCTTTTATCCATTGTCTCTTTTAATGTTCAAATAACCCATGTTAGGGGAGTAGTGTGTCAGACTCTATAATAGTTGAGGAACTGACTAGTCCCATGTTAGCCAGTAAGTGGCAGAGGTGACCCTAACCCAGGCTATCACATGCATAGTTTGTGCTTCCGACCGCTCAACCCTGCCTTCACCAGCAAGAACCAGATGGTGAAGCTCCAGCCTCGACTGGAGGATTCACAGGACTGAAGGCAGCCCGCTGGGTGTCTCCCTGTGAAAAACAACACGAAACCACGAAAACCACAGAACTTCTGTGGAATGCTCAGTGGTGTTTCAGTTTTGAGCTCCATGCTTCTCATTAGTATCCGAACTTTCATTTTTATGTTTTTCAACTTTATGAAATAATAAGGGTAGAATGCAAAAAATTTCAAATAACTGCAAAAATATCCCTGTACAGATAGAGCCTGTAGAGCTCCAGACACAGGGGACTGTCCACTGTTGGGCAGTTCCCTCACACTGTAGCTCAGAGTGTTTATTACTCAGCCTGAATGAAAGTTGCTATGGAAACGGTGTTTTTTTTCTGTGGGGGGCATCAATGAATTATGCACAAAAGGGTGAGCTGGACGAAAGTCTAATGTACAAAAGCTATAATCATGCATTGCATTTGAACTAATGCTTTTTATTTTAACTAATTTAAATTTATTTTAATTTAATTAATTAAGTATTACATTTAATTAACTTAAAATAAGTTTAATTTATTTTAATTAATTTTAACTTAATGTTTTTTTCTTACTTAGGGGTGTCAAAAGCAATTTTAGAAGGTGCCGGACCAGCTGTGGAAAATGAATGTGCTGTACTAGGTAATGGTTACATGTTACTTTTGGTTACGACCCCTAGGAGATTAGAGGGCTAAGAAGACTGTAATAGGACCTACAGGAGGAGTAAGTGGTGAGCACTTTGGAAAGAGGTTGATTCTCTGGGAGAGCAGATCCAGGGGGTGTGACTTTATGGCTTTGGGAAGTAGTCCTTCCTTTCACCATCCCACCTGTCTCTTCCTAACTATTAAACAGAACCCAGGCCTGGCTCCTAATAGTCCAGCCTCCACCACTTACTGAGGGATCCTGAGCCTGCCATCTGATCTGTAAGAGCTTTGTTTCTCTTATCTGTGAGCTGGTTCTGGGTTCTACTAACCAGGCAGGAGTATGGTAATGGCTTCCTCGCGGGTGGGTGTGAGCATCAGGACAATGAACAGGAAAAGTTGCCTAAAGTGCTGTATAAGTCCTCTTTCTCTTTCCCCAACCTTGTTCTACTTGTGATAGGACATCGTCTACCTGACGTGAGTCAGGGTGGAACCTGGGTGGGTCTGAGGTGCTCTAGGACACCAATTCTCCAATTCTTGCACACCACCAAATGCATTGCTTTTCTCTCCTTGAAAAACGAATCTAGCCGAATAAGCATAGACATTGCTCTTCTGGACAACAGCTTGGGGGTTAAGAGGTCTGGACATTGACCGCTTGAGTTCAAATCCCAGGCAATCTTTGCTGTGGACCTTACCTTTCTGAGCTTCTGTTGAATCTGTGAAATGGACAAAATAGTACCGACCAATAGCCTTGTTTTGAGGATTGAGTAGACCAAAGGAGGTAGAGTGCTTTTGAATAGCACCCCCCATTCAACAAGGTAGTTGTCGAGTTAAAGAATCCTGGTTGTACAGAAAACGAGCCTGGCACAGTCCCAGCGAGTGAAACCAGCTAGATGGAGGGAGGCTGAACTTGTTCAGAAATCATCACAGCTTTCTTCAACAGCAGCTGCTTTCATGGTTCAGTGATCCTCTTGCCGCTTCCTGTAAGTAACTGCTGTGTGTTTCCTTTTCTTCCCCTTGCTCCAGCTGCACAGCCTCACGGAGATTTTATAGTTACACAAGGTGGAAACTTGATGTGCAAGATAATAATCCATGTTCTCGGGGAAAATGATGTCAGGAAAACGGTCTCCACTGTTCTAGAAGAGTGTGAGCAGAGGAAGTACACTTCTGTTTCCCTTCCGGCCATCGGAACAGGTTTGTAGCCTCTTATCAATCCAAGATTCTGAATCATCCGCATTCCCTTAGACTTCGCCTCACTGTTAGTGAATTCGTTGCTGATTCCAGGCAGCGATAGTGATGTAAATCAGAGAGTGGGCCAACTTGCAGACCCGGAGGGCCATCTCTGGGGCCTATGCCTCTTTAATACATCTTTAATCTTTATTGTATGTTCCCCAGGTATCTTTGCATGTTTGGCCCTTAACATCATGGTGTTCTTACTGTTCATGTTTTTCCTTTGGGTGATTTGTTTGCTCTTACTGTATCTGTTACCCTTTTTGCACTGACTCTCAGATCAGCATTTCTCCTTCCCCCGGATCTCCTCTGGCAGATTTCTGTTACCAGAGACTTTATAGCAGAATCCAAACTCATCCTCATCATCCCTTGCAAACAGCCACCTTTCCTGGGTTGTCCCATTTTCTGATCTCCTCCTTCGGTGGTGCCACGATGCTCTGGCTATCCTGCCAGCTTGCTTCTTTGTTTCCCCAGACCCCACAGTCAGCACATTCTACTAAGTCTTCTCCCAGGGGTTATTCAGTGTCAGCCTTGCTTCTGGCTTCCAAACCTTTAATACGTCTGCTATTGGGTTGACCGCAGCATCTCCCACTGGCTCTCATTCATGCATTTATTAGATTGAAAGGCTGTTTCCCAGGCCCGCTGCAAGTTCCTAGGCATAAAACCATGAGTAGGATGCAGTTGCTTTCCTTAAGCAAGAAGCTCGGGTCCATCCCACTCCCAGTTTCTAGGAAAACTTTTCCTCCTCATCTCTATCATAGCATACAATAATTTGCTCTTAGTTGAAGGTGATGCTAATGACCAGTTCCCTGATTCATTCACGCTCAGTCGCGTAAGCTTTTTAAAAGGGCCTGGGAGGGCCTGAATAATGCCACCACATGATCGTATGATTAATAAAGTTTCAAAAGTAAGATTTTTTAACCTCTGTGGGTCAGGATCACTGTTTCTTCTCACTTTGACTTCTCAGACTTTTCCTGACACTGAGCATTGGAAAGGCTGTGAGCATTTTTGGAATATAGCTAAGGAAAGTTGATGTAGGAATATGGTTTTTCAAAATTTCAAAATTTATACTTTATTGTGATTTCTTTTTTGATTATAAAGAGTCCCTTTTATACATAATTTTGTGTTTTTATTTTGTGTTCTTTTTCTGAGATGTATAAATTTTAAACCCTACAAAACCTAGACCCACTCATGACTCTTAGTTTCCCCATTTTGCAGATAAGAATTTGAAGTATTAATGTACAAGGTCACATAGCTAGTCAGCAACATAGCGAAGATCAAACCCAGGCAGCCTGGTCTGTACATTTCAACCTTTACATTGTTTTTTTATGTTACACTTTTTTTTGTTACCATTATGCTCTTAATTACTATACTGTTAGCTGCCACATTCTTAACTCTATGAGCTATTACTTCTATTATCACCCCAATTGTATAAAACTGAGTAAATTGAAGTTTGGAGGTGTTGTGGGCTGAGTGATGTTCTCCCTGCCAAATTTGTATGCTGAAGCTGTGATTCCCAGTACCTCAGAATATAACTATATTTGATGAGAGGGTCTTTCAAGAGATAATTAAGTTAAAATGAGGTCATTAGGGTGGTCCCTAATCCAATATGACCAGTGTCCTTGTTAGTTGGGAGATTAGAACATCCACAGATACAGAGAGAAGACCATATGAAGACATAAGGAAAAGACAGCCATCTACAAGTCTCAGAGAACTCAAAAGAAATCAGTCTTTCCAAAACCTCAATGTCAGACTTCTAGCCTCCAGAATTGTGAGAAAATACATTTGTGTTGCCTAAGCCACCGATTACGGCAGTTTGTCATGGCCTCCCTAGCCAACTGATATGAGAGGAATTGAATGACTTAGCCAAGATCCCACAGCTAATCAGTGGAGAACCAGGACATGAACCCAGTTCTTCTGCACCCGGATCACATGCTCTGTTCTCTGCGCTGCCAGTGCCCTACAGTTCAAGACCACCAGGAGCACACACTATGAGGAACTATGCAGCATCTCATCAAGAGGTCATTAAAGACTATTAATAGATCTGAGCTTATGCTGGGTAACTTTGTGGTGGTCTCAAGTACATGGGGTTTTGCTCTGGATTGGATTCTTTGAGGAAGCAGGCATGGTTCAATGATTGGATATCTTACCTGGAAGAGGCGAAGAAAATGGCCAAAGTTGTGATTATTAATGAAGTAGCACTTGCTCCTACTAGTTAAGATGGGGACTGTTTGGCCATTTTTGTGGTTTGGATAGTGTTCATGTTTTTGCCTGTGGTCAGACATGATTATTCAGTGGTTGTGCTGGGCTAAATTGATCACAGCCACAGAGTGGTTACATCAGATGATATTCTATGAAATTGTATGTGTTCAGCCAGAGGACACGAACACCCAGCTAGGAGTGCCAGATCCATTTCTGGCTGTCGGGCTGCTTGCTTCTTTCTCAACACCAAAAACCACGTTTGCCAGATCTCATCACTTGACTAACACCAGCTAAATCTTCTTTTGGTCACTTAAAAAAATGTTTCTTTTTCAGGAAATGCTGGAAAAAACCCAACCACAGTTGCTGATGATATGATCAGTGCTGTTATAGACTTCGCACGGAAACATCCCATCCCATCATTACGAAGAGTTAAAGTTGTCATCTTTCTATTTGAATTGCTACATGTATTCTATGACAACATGAGAAAGAGAGAGAAGTCCGCATCACCTGTCCTTCAGCCCACACGCTTCGAGACTGCATGTAAATGATCTTCTTCAGAAAATCATGTGGTTATCTCTCCTATTACTTAGCAAATGTGTAGCTATTAATGCTCATTGTTTTATCAGTTTTAGGATTCTACAGATAGCCTCCTATAATATGTGGGAAAATACAAGAACTATGGAATGCAGCCTCCTATCTGCTGATTATTCTGAGGGCAGAATCACTCCTGGGACGCAGGAATAGCAAAGGAACGGAAGAGAATAGAAATGAGGAAAGCAGAAGAGGGGGATGGGCCTTGAAAATCCTAAGCCAGTTACCTCATTATTTAATTGTGGATTTGTATCGCCCCTCAGTGCTCCTTGTAGCTATGAACCAGCTGACTGATACTCATTTATTGATTATCCACCACTAGACAAGTTAGCCTGACAATGGAAGCAGATGGAAGAAGGGAGTGGTCAGGGTCATTTGGTTGTACTACTTCCTGAGCAGGCAGATTCCTAGTTTCTTCTCTGTAAGATGGGTGTTTATGCATAATGTTTAAGTATCTATTGATCTGCTCCTCTTTCCCCATTTTGAGGCTTCTGTACTGCTGTGAAAATAACTAGAAAAGCAGCTTCCTCTTGCAATCACGGTTTTTGCCCATTTTGGGCACTCACTCATAGAGCACTGTGGGTTTTACTAGTGATGAAGTACACCTGTCATCAGCAGCTGTCTCTAAACTGGAAATTATTGCCTGACCCTGCCAGTAAGAATTTCAGTTCTCTCTAAACCTACTGATAACTATTCAATGTGCCTTCACATATAGCACATGTAAGAGCTACACACACACACACACACACACACACACACACACAAAGTAAACAAAAATAGCAGTTGGATCTGTTAATGTTCTTGCAATAGCAAGTAATAGAAAATCCAATTTAAACTGGCTTATGGAAAAATGGAATTAATTGACTCACGTGACTATAAAGTCCAGGCATACCTGGCTTCAGGGCCAGTTTGATCCAGGTGCTCATATTATATAATCTATATATAGATTTCTTCATCTCTCTTCTTCATCATCTCTTCTTCATCTGAATTTCTTCATCTCACACTCTCTTGTCAGCCGTGTTGTCTTTATTCTCAGGTTTCACATGGTTAAAGATGGCAGCTAACAGTTTCAGGACCATATGCCTACACGGTCAGATCCAATAGGAAAAGGTGTATCCGGGGGTAATATATACTCATCACAGGAATGTGATGCCTGGGAACAGAGCTGTTCACATAAGGCAGAAATTCCTTCTGACTGAATCAGCTTAGGTCATCATTGCAGCTAGGGAACTGGAGTTATACAAATCAGCCAACCCAGAGTCACATGCTCTATTCTTGAACTGAAGGGGATCACTCTGAAGCAATGAGGAAGAGTTGTTCACCAAAGGAAATTCAAGATGCTTTTAACAGAAGAAGGGGAAGAGGCTGCTGGACGGTTAAAAATAACACATACCTACTGGAGTACCTAGGGATATATAAATTAACATTTCCCCCTTCGGTCCTTGCAGAAGAAAATTTGTATTTAAATACAAATTAACTGGTTCATCCACTCCCTGCTTACACCAAGAATTTAAAATGACTTCTGAAATTTAAAAAACAGGAAGGGGTACCTGGGTGGCTCAGTCAGTTAAATGTTCCAATCTTGATTTTCCCTCAGGATGTGGTCTCAGGGTCATGAGATGGAGCCCCAGGTTGGGCTCTGCCCTGGGCATGGAGCCTGTTAAGATTCTCTCTCCTTCTCTCCCTCTGCTCTCCCTGCTCATTTCTTTCTCTAAAAAAAAAAAAAAAGGAAAGAAAAGAAAGAATAAGAGACAAGCAAATAAAAGATAAGTAAAATGAGCAGATCAGTGACCCAATGAATGGCACTTGGGGCAAAACCAAACAACAACAAAACTGCCTTACATAATCTTTGTTGTTAGATGAAAAGAATAATTCAGATAAAATGTCGGATAACAAGTTTGTTGGCAGAGATAAACTTGGATTTTAGTAAGAATTTATCATGAGGATTTTTTTTTTTTTTTTAATCATGTGGACTTCTTTAAAGAGAACTTACAGAGGGCAACTTGGAGTTTCATTTGAGCAAATGATACACAATTGCTTTTCCAAAGCACGTTTAAGCTATTCATTGATTCAGAGCACTGTTACTGGGCACGAATTGAATATCATACCCTAGATACACAGATTTGGGAGTCATGTAAATAGGTGGGAGTTGAAGTCATGGAGTGTGGCTCCAACTATCCATGGAGACTATGAAGGTGGAGAGAATGAAGCTGAAGGCAGAGCCAGGATTCTTGGTGTGTCGTCCCACCCCTACCTGTGAAGAGGAAACTAAGGCAGGCTGCACAAGGAGAGGTGTAGGACGGCATTTACCCCAAACATCAGGAATGGGAAAGTAGATTGAGCTTTATCTTTTAAAAGAGATTTATAGGAAAAGCACTCAGGAAAGTGCCTGGTACCTGGTAAACACTTGAAAAAAGGTAGTCATCATGTTACCGCCGATGAAGCACTGGGTTGAGAGTCACTAGAACACAATCCTTTTCCTTCCTTGGATGGTGGCCTTCCACGTAACATTGGATATGTGAGTACTCAGCCTTCCTGGAGCTTGGCTTTCTCATCTCTAAATTGTCCAAGGACATCTTCTGTCCACAAGCAGAATAAGTAGCACAGTTTGGTGTGGTTTAAGGGTGTGATTTAAGTTGTTCATCTCAAGAAAATACCTTTGTCTTTAAACTTTCCTCCCTTTTTATTTTTATTTTTTAAAGATTCTTTATTTTAGTTTAGAGAGGAAAATGAGAGAAAGAGAGAGAGAGTGCCAGAGTGGAAGGGTGGGGAAGGGCAGAGGGAAAGAGAGAAAATCTGAAGCAGACTGCACTGAGCACAGAGCCTGCCACTGGCCTCGATCCCATGACCCCGAAATCATGACCTGAGCTGAAATCAAGAGTCGGACGCCCAACTGACTGAGCCACCGAGGTGCTCCTAGGTCGCTCCTTCTTTAAATACAAATGCCTCTAGGATGTAGAAAATATCAAGTTTAATTATTTTTTTAAGAATAATAACTATGTTTGTAAAGGATTCCCTAAAAGTGTTTTTACAACCTTTATTGTATTTTAAACTTGAAACAATCCCATGAGGTGACAAATAGAGCAGATTCTATCAGTTCCATTTTACAAAAGAGAAAATGAAAACTCACTCAAAATTGGTACTACTTGTTCCATACCTTATGGCTGGCCACAGGTTGAGGCTGAGCAGGTCTTCTGATTCCAAGCACTGGTATTTTCTGCTCTGCAACCTCATGACATGAAAGGAAGAGAGAGCCCAAAGAAAAACTTGACTTGCTTCTCAGGCTTGCCTCTGTATTTGGAGAAAAGAAAGTAGCAGGTTTGAGGAGACTCTAAGACCTAGGACTCCACATTACTAGGCCAAAGCTTTGGAGGGAGTGGACAGTGGGAGAAGGGAAAGAATTTAATTTGCACAAACTACATATCCTGCTGTGGGAAATTTCTCCAGAAAAACTCTCTTAAAGTAGAATTTGAAGACAGCTTCCAGATTAGGCTTTGATGCTTGCCTTTGTGAACAGAACTTCATTCCCTGGATGGACTTGCTAAACAGGAAGAGAGTACCTGATTGCTCTCCCAGCCCTGGATATCTTGCACTAAAAATGAGTAAATTCTGGCTTTGCTTGTAAGGAGAAATCCTTTGGCCTTTACCTGTGGTGTTGTGCCATTTTCTGGCATTTCCTTCTCTAACACAGTCTGTCCATAGTTCTACTTGTCATGCCATCTCAGCAACTTGGTGTGTAGTCTCAATGTATTAGAAGGTTCTAGAAGCCATTGGAAAGCAAAGGAAAATTTTGAGCATCATCACCTTATGTGAAAGTGTTCACTTAGTATTTCCGCTGTTTTCTTTATATGGTGCTTTCTCTACTTTGGAAATAGAAGGTAAGGTATAGAACAATGTCTTTAAATATCTTTAACAAGGTAATCACATTTCAAAAGAAAAATAATAACCACAATAAATAAAACTGATAAACATGAAAACATTGATGAATTGGCTTTCATGTTTACACATCAGGTTTTTTTAAAAACTTTTTTTAAAGTGGGCTTCACACTCACTGTGGAGCCCAGTGTGGGGCTTGAACTCATGACCATGAGATTGAGCCCTGAACTGATATCCAGAGTTGGATGCTTAACAAATTGAGCCACCTAGGAACCCCTACATATCAGTTTCTTATGGAATTAATTCCATAGAGCTTTCTGGGGAAATTATAATTTCAAGCTATAGTGAATGAAAGTATACCTAAATACTTGAGCTAGGTCATTAGTTAATATATGTCATATTAACATCAGAACCGTTCATTTCATCTGTGTTTACCAACTGAGAATGGATAAAAGCAGCAACTGAAATGTGTAGCTTTCTTGTTTTTGGTTTTGTTTTGTTTTGTTTTGTTTTTTTTTCTTATCCAGAAGGCCAGGATTAGATGAATGTGAAAAAAGAGCATAGGAAGTGCCCTGATTTTCAGAGATCCCTGGAAATGGATCTTGTGTTTTCACCAAATGTTGACTTTTCAGGTAATCTTCCTGAACACTGGGCTGACATGAATCAGCAGCTATCCTGTGTGATTGAGCTACTCCCTGGACATTCAGAATATGACACCGTAAAGGACAAGTTCTCTGAGACTTGTCCTTCCTACAAAATAGAGAAGGTAATATTTTATTTAAAAATAACTTCTTTTAAAAAAATTACTTCTTTCAACTATCAAAGAACTACTAACATGAAAGCCATCTTTTTTAAAATAACAGTCCTCCAGGACGCCTGGGTGGCTCAGTTGGTTAAGCAGCTGCCTTCGGCTCAGGTCATGATCCCAGCATCCTGGGATCGAGTCCCGCATCGGGCTCCTTGTTCTGTGGGGAGCCTGCTTCTCCCTCTGCCTCTGTCTGTCACTCTGTCTGCCTGTGCTCGCTCTCTCTCTCTCTGACAAATAAATAAATAAAATCTTTAAAAAAAAATAATAACACTCCTCCTTCCTTTGTACCTTACTATATTTATTTTAATTAGACTAACTCAATCTCCATAGACTTCAAATCTAATGGTTCATTCATTAACTGTAATAAAGAATATTCCCCAAAGTGACATTTATATGTTTGGATACTTTCACTTACAATTTACAAACAAACCCATTCAAACTGATTAAACAAGGAGAAATGTATTAGAAATGTCCAGAAGTAGGATGGTCTTTGGAATAGCTGGATCCAGTTTCTCTGGCTTTGCCATCCACTGGGTCAGCTTCATGTAAAGGCTGGACTCTCTTCATAATTGTAGGATGGCTGTGCATGGCAATCAGGGGGTCTCTGCTTCCTCCATTCACAACCCATGGAAGGGACGCAACCACTGAATAAGAGTCCCAGGCTTTGTGTTGAGCGGAGCCCTCCAACCAGTCTATGTCCCAAGAGTGCTATTTGCTGATTGGCTTGGACCTGGGCTATCAAATGCCATCATTGTACGATCCCAATATGAGATTACCCTGATTGGTTAGACCCAATTAGGCTCCGCCCAATTCTCCACTTAGTGGAAAACTGTAGTGAGTCCAACTCTACCCAGACCAGCAGTTGCTGTACAATGGGGATGAATTAGAATGGATGTTCAGGGATTCTCACAGTGTTCACCATGCTGCATAAAAATTTTAGCCAGCAAAGTACAGGAGTTTATTAGAAGGTCATTATCATACCCTGTTATCAGAGCAGGGTGTGACATCCTAGTCATTTAAAAATCTGGCTGCTACTTCCATAAAACCGTGTACTCAACCACATTATAGCATTTAAGAAATTGTGCTTTCATAAGCTTTCATGTGCCTGACTCCCCCATTAGACAGTGGGGTTCTTAAAGTAGGAGTTGCATTCCCATTACCTATCCTGGTGCCTAGCATATCATAGGACACAATACCTACAGAATGAACTTTCTTCCTGAGAAAGAAAGAGAATCCAAAGAGAGACATTCCTGCAGAAAGGACAGAATTTAAAGGAGGTGATACTTCATTGATATTAAAAGCTGTTGAGAGTATAAGAACCTTGTTCAATTGTGTTTACCCAATATCTGCAACTTTCTTGGCTCTTATTCTTCTATTATACCCATGTAGAAACACCTCACTTTTGGATTAATTCCATAATATACTTTCTCTCCTGCTGCCCCTAGATAAAATCATTATTAATTCCTGGTTGCCAACCTCTGCTGGACTCTCCAGGTGCCTGGAATCCTTTATTGCTTCTTCCAGTCAACTCCTTCATGCATTCCCCTTTGCAAAATTTCAACACTCTGCTTGAGGTCTTCATCTGTCTCAAAACAATTTTCCCTCCTACTTTTATTACTTGACTTCTCCTCAATACCTGCTATAGGTAACTGTTCCATTCTTCTCATTTATGTATTTATTTTTAATTATTTACTGAAATTGAGGTGTAATTGACATATATTAGTTTCAGGTATATAATGTATTTTAATATTTGTATATATTGCAAATTGATCACCATAGCAAATCTAGTTAACATCCTTTATCATACCTACTTACAAAAGATTTTTTTTCTTGTAATGAAGACTTTTCAGATCTACTCTCTTAGCAACTTTCAAATATGCAATTCAGTATTATTAACATAGTCACTATCCTGTGTATTATATCCCCCTGACCTATTTCTTTTATAATTGGAAATTTGTACCTTTTGGCCCACTCTCTCATGTGTCTACCCTGCACCCCTGCCTCTGGCAACCATCAATCTGTTTTCTGTATCTATGAACTTGGGTTTATTTTTGTGGATTTTGTTTGTTTGCTTGTTTTTGATCCAGCATATAAGTGAAACCATATGGTATTTGTCTTTCTCTGTCTGACTTATTTCACTTAGCATAATGCCCTCAAGGTCCATGGCAAGATTTTTTGCTTTTTCATATCCTGATAGTAGTGTGTGTGTGTGTGTGTGTGTGTGTGTGTGTGTGTGTGACATTTTCATTACCCATTCATCTATCAATGGACACTTGGGTTGCTTCCATATCTTAGCTATTATGAATAATGCTGCAGTGAACATGGGGGTGCACACAGTTCTTCTTGAACTCTCTTCTTTTGTTTCTAGGACATCATGATTTCGGATTTTTTTCCTCTTTCCCTAGACTTAGATTACCTGGATCCTTTTCTTTTGCTTTCATAGTCTGTGTGTGTTCTCCTAACCAACCCCTTATCACTCTGAGAGGCAGAGATTTTTTTACTTGTCTTTTTCCCCCACTAGACTGAAAGTTTCTTTCAGAGATCCAACACATGCTTCATTCATAGTAGATATTCAATAGATGATTACTAAGTGTATGTTAGATTCATTTTCTAGAAGGAAGGAGAACCAGTAGAGAATGATATATTGAAATAAAGTTAAAGGAAGACAAAATTTCAAGGAGGGGATGATTCATGGTTTGAAATGCTATTGAGAGTCTAGAAAGAAATAGTCATTAGATTAGGCAGTTATGAGGTGATTTATGACCATAATTAGAGCAATGGAAGAGAACTGTTGTTGGAAGAAGCCAATGGAATGGTTTTAGAGATCAGATGGACGTAAGGAAATAATTACTGAATGATTACAAATTTTTGAGTAGGAATTTGTTTTTAATTTCTTTTAATTTACTTAGATTATTATTATTATTTAAGTAAGCTACACGCCCAGCATAGAGTCTAATACTGGGCTTGAACTCACAAAGACCTGACCTGAGATCAAGAATCAGTGGCTATCTGACTCTTGGTTTTGGCTCAGGTTGTGGTCTTATGGTCATGAGATTGAGTCCCACCTCTGGCTCTATGCTCAGCATGGAGTCTGCTTGAGATATTCTCTCCCTCTGCCTCTGCCCCTCCTGCTTACACTCTCTGTCTCTGTCTCTGTCTCTCTCTCTCTCAAATAGATAAATAAATCTTAAAATTAAAAAAAAGGAGTGAGATGCTTAACTGACTGAACCACTCAGGCACCCTTATTTATTTATTTATTTACTTACTTATTTACTTATTTATTTATTTATAAAGGGGAGAGAGAGAGAGAAATGGGGGAGGAGCTGAGAGAGAGGGGGAGAGAAAGAATCTTAAACAGGCTCCAAGCCCAGTGTGGAGCCTGACATGGGATTCTATCATAACCCTGAGATCATGACCTATGCCAAAATCAAGAGTTAGACACTTAACCAACTGAGCCACTCAGGTGCCCCTTGAATAAGAATTTGAATGTGAATGAATCTCCAGGAATTCCAGATAATATATATAGGTAAATGTCTTTATATAACTTATAAGTTCTATTATATAAAATAGATTATAATAAGCACTATTACAAAGTATAGATACTCTTAACCTAGCCTTTTCCTAAGGGCAGAAAGCAGAGATGCCTGGGTGGTTCAGTCAGTTAAGTGTCTGCCTTTAGCTCAGGTCATGTCTCAGGGTCCTGGGATTGAGTCCTGCATTGGGCTCCTTGCTCAACAGGGAACATGCTTCTCCGTATGCCTGCCATCCCCCCTGCTTGTGCGCTCTTTCTCTCTCTCTCTCACTCTCTGGCAAATAAATGAATAAAATATTAAAAAAATAAAAGCAGAAAGCTACCTACTCTCTGAATTAATTGGCTGTTGATTTGTATTTTCTTTTCTTTTTCCTTTTTCCCCTCCTCCAGTCCTCCTTCTTCTCCTCTAAATTGCTATTTTAAATCCACAACAAACACATTATACTGAGTTCTAAAGTCATTTTCAAAATATTTTGCTTTTCTTCATTTGTAGATTGAACGGATACAGAATGTATGCATCTGGCAGAGCTACCAGATAAAGAAAAACCACATGGACATGAAGAATGGCCATACAGATAATGAGAGAATTCTGTTCCATGGGACAGATGCAGACTCAGTGCCATATGTCAATGAGCATGGCTTTAATCGCAGTTATGCTGGGAAGAATGGTAAGGAAGCAAGTAATCTGGCTGACTAGAATGAGATGAATGAGAACTCTAGTGTTGACTATTCACACCCAAGCAGTGTAGAACCATAGATGGCAGCCATCTTGTCATTATCAGGGTAGAGTTCTTTGCGTTTCATCAGAAAGGAGGCTGGCAACCTTCAAGGCTAGAGGGAGTGAATTGTAGAAATGATGAAGAGTGGCTTGGGTGGGCAAGAACGACATTAAAAAAATGTGTCAGGTTTGGCATGGTTCTACATACTGTGATAATTTTCTGTTTTTAGAAAACCTTTTTGTCTTTCTCTTTATAGGAGCAGCCTATGGACGAGGAACCTATTTTGCTGTTAATGCCAAATATTCTGCTAATGATAAATATTCCATACCAGACAGCAATGGGAGAAAGCATGTTTATGTTGTACGAGTGCTTACAGGAGTCTACACATGCGGACATGCAAGATTAGTTACCCCTCCATCAAAGAATCCTCACAATCCCACAGATCTCTTTGACTCTGTCACAGATGATACACAACATCCAAGACTATTTGTGGTATTCTCTGATAATCAAGCTTACCCAGAATATCTCATAACTTTTAGGTGTTAAAAAATAGGTTTTTTTTTAACCTCTAAGAGATTGTTTAGTTGTCTATTTATAAGAACAAATTTATAGAATTTTTGTCTTTGCCTTTGGCTTGTTTATGTAGATAAAAATGTCTCTGTTAGGTGCTAAAATGCTGAAAACAGCCTTTCAAAAGCGCTCTATTGCAATTTGTAGCATACCTCTTTTCTGAGCATATTGATGGGTGGAAGCTAAGAAATGCGGGTGACATAATTATAGCTACAACTATTCACAGACACCAAATGTGTCAAAGAACAAAGAGCACATTATTTTTGTCTAGCAGAGAAGAAATAAGACGAATCTCTTTAAAGCCAAGATGTCATTGCTCTAACAGAGCATGTTAAGACATCAAACTGTGCTGGGCTCAACTGTACTGTTAAATGAATAGGCTGCTAATGTGTATCTGTAAGAGCTAAGAATTTTGCCCCCCTGAAGAAATACTTAGTAGAACAGTTCAGCTAGAATGACTGAAATCTGTTATGGAGTAAACCAGGTAAAAATGTGTTGTACCACTATCTGATGCTACATGACAACTTACTATAAAATTTAAGGGCTTTGTGGGCAAGGAATTCAGGTGTGGCTTAGCTGGGTCATTCTGACTTAGGGTTTCTCCTAAAGTTGAATAAAGATGTCAGCAGGGGATGCAGTGTTCTGCAGTGGCTTGACTAGAGCTGGAAGATCTGCTTCCAAGGTAAATCACTCAGATAGCTACAGAGTTTTTGCTGGTTGACAGAAGTCCTCAGTTTTTCTCCCCATAGTCCTTTCCAGGCTGCTTACATTGCTCACGATGTGGTATTCCACAGCCAGCAATTCAGGAGAGAGACAGGCTGAAGCCATGGTGTCTTTTATGACCTAGCTTCTGAGTCATACTCCACCTCTTCCACAGCATTCTGTTGGTTCCACAGATCAGCTCTTTCAGTGTAAACAGGAATTACACAGGGCCTGGACACCAGTGGACAGAGATTGTCGGGGACCATCTTAGAAGCTGTATAGAGTGAAGGACTGATACACTGATGAAATGTTAGCAGTGAGAAGGACTCTAGAGGTCATCTAAGCCCACTGTCCTCTCATCTTTCTCTCCCCCATCTGTACTCCCAGGGCAAAAAGCCCTCGAGTCTCTGCTTCACCACTTCTACATCTTAAGGATAACTTATTCCATCCCAAGACAACTGTAACTGTTGGAAAACTCTTGTTTACACTGAGTTGAAATCTCTTCTTCTGTGTCTATTGCCTGCTGGTCACTGTCACCTTCTGGAGGGCACAGAGCATTTATCATTCTTTTTACAGATGGTGGCCCTTCAGATTCATCTCTTCTTTCTATTATACTAGAGTTAGGTAAATTCTTGAAATATTTAGCAGCTTATCCTGAAGCATTACTTATCAAGAGTTGAAGACATTTAAGACGTGTTTACATAATCATAAATAAGCAGATGCACATTAAAAGGAGTACAGGGAAGTTTAAAGAGAATAACTCCCTTCACCATACTATATTACTCATAATTGCAACATTCAGAGGAAACCACTGCCAACATTCTTTTTTTTTTAAATATTTTATGTATTTGTTTGACAGACAGATCACAAGTAGGCAGAGAAGCAGAGAGAGAGGAAGAAGCAGGCTCCCTGCTGAGCAGAGAGCCCCATGCGGGGCTCAACCCCGGGACGCTGGGATCATGACCTGAGCCGAGGGCAGAGGCTTTAACCCACTGAGCCACCCAGGTGTCTCCCACTGCCCACATTCTTATGTTCTCTTCCCCCTTCTCCTTTCTTCTACATCCACCTTTAACAAAGTCAAAGTCACACTTTATTCAATTACTTAATTATACAATATTATATCTACCTTTTTCATTTAACATTGTAAGTGTTACTCTCATGTTATTAATTTTTCCTGTAAACATCATCTTAATGGTCAAGTTATTCCACTGTATATTTTCCTTTTATGTATATATAAAGTTTTAAAAAATGTCATAGTCTTTCCTTATAGTTTAATAATCCAATTTCCTTTTGTAACATATCTGTATTATTTCCCCCATGTCATTAAATATCTTATCTATCATTTTGATGGTTGCATAGCATTTCATTGTACATCTCTACATAAATGTCATGTCAAAGCAGGGTGCCCTATAATGCTAGATAAATGTATGGTTGGATTATGAGATCCTGAGAGCATAATCTACTTTCAGTGAGACACCGCATCCTGAACTTCTTGAGAGAAAATACAGTCCTAGAGAGCAAAGCAAGTCTAAATAATTCTCTGTTTGTACATGGGCTTTGGCTCCCAACTCCAGTGTAGAATCCTAGTGAGCCAGGTTAGAACACAGAAGGACCCTTTTTACTTAGGTTAGGTAGGCTTTTAGTTGCAATGTAAACTGCTGTCTTCTGTCTCCTCCAATGCTGTTACTCAAAAACCCCCCAATTTATTTTGCTGTACTCCTACTTCACTATATGACATAGAAGTCTTGAGTATAATACATCCATGTTATTAAAGTTGTGATGGTTTCTTGAGGAACAAAATTAAGTCAGTCGATATTAATTTTACTTATTGATTTGTTGATTTATTTAATTTATTTATTTGACAGAGAGAGAGAGCACAAGCAGGGGGAGTGAGAGAGGAAGAAGCAGACTCCTTGCTGAGTAGGGAGCCTGATGCGGGACTTGATCCCTGGGATTGTGATCTGAGCCGAAGGCAGACGCTTAACCGACTAAGGAACCAGGTGCCCCCAGCCAACTGATAATTATACAGTTATTATAAATTCCACCTTCCATTAGTCTGAAGCTAAATGCCTTTCCATCCTTTATGTCCATCTCCTTCCCTGTTTGCTTGGCATTCTCCATCCATATTATTAGGATGTTCTTGATTTCTTTCCTAATAACCCACCATTTCTTTCCTAATAACCCACTAATTTCTGATGCAAATTAGAAATCTTTAACTTCGCTAATTACTTTCAAAATGGGTTTCTTTTGTATGGATTTCCAGAGTTCTGGCTGATGGTACCTGACTGATCTGAGACCAGAGATCCTGAGGTACAGCTCTGACTGGCAGTCAGATGGCTTACTGTCCCATGTATCTTCTCTCCTCTTCTCTCTTTACTTCTCTTAGCATTTTTCTCCTTCTCATTCCTTTCTTTCACCTCCAGTCCTTCCCTTCACTTGTGGAGGAATGAGGACACACGCTCTGCTTGGATGAATCAGAGGAAACATTTTTAAATTTTTTTCTTCATCTATGGTAGAGAAATAAAATCCATGTAGTGTGTATGCGGATGTGTTAATTGAACACAGGGTCTGTGAATTCATTTACAGGTAGTGGGTTAATTATCACAGTGCTGGTAAGATCGTTTACAGCTATGATCAATTCCATTTCTGCTCAATAGTTTATTTGAACAAATGCAGTTTCTTATAGTAAATAGGATTTATGAGCTTAATTGATTAAAATATTCCATTTACAAGCTGTGTAGGAAAAATTCTTGCTGTTTCTCCTTTACTCTCCTTTCCATACTCACAACACTTCTGACACCAAATGTCTGCAGTTTTCCCCAGCTCTAAGCAATCCTCTGCAGTACTAGCTGGGGGTCCCACAATTTCACTCAATTCTGACACTATCTACTTGAAAATAATGTCAGATCCCATGGGTTAAGGGCTCAGCCCCACAAGACTGTCTCACCTCCTCCTGTACTGCAAATGCCAACAGCAAATCCCAGGTTGTTCTCTGTACTTCTGACTATGAGTCAAGGCTATGAACCCTTGTTCCCACAACCCCCTCCTTGGGTTTGATTCATTTGCTACAAGGGCTCACAGAACTCAGGGAAACACTTACATTCACTTGTTTATTCTGAAAGGCTGTGATGAAGGGTGCAGATGGAGAGTTACATTGGGCAAGGCACATAAGAAGGGTCACATAAGAAGGCACATAAGAAGGGTCATGTTTTCTCAGGGCATGTCACTCTGACAGCGCCTTCACCTGTTCTTCAACTTGGAAGCTCCCTGTAGCTCATACCTTTGGGATTTTTGTGGAGATTTCAACACGCAGGCAGTGAGTGATCATTAACTCAATTTCCAGATCCTCTGCCCTTGCTGGAGAATAGGGGATGGAGCTCTAAGCCTTCTAATCATGGCTTGGTCTTTTTCGTGACTGGCTCCCATCCAGGAAACCAGCAAAAGTCATTTCATTAGAACCAAAGATACACACCCAAGAAATTCCAAGGCATTTAGGAAGTCTGTGTCAGGAAGTAGGGTCAAAGACCAAATTTGAGAATAAAAGATGCTTCTAGTGGCTCTCATCACCTTTTAGGAGTTTTGAGCCAGGAACCAGGGACAGAAACTAAGATATAAAAATAATAAAGATATAAAACATAATATTTTTTATTATCTCACACAAGCTTTGGACTTTTCTGCCACTCTTAGTAAACATACAAAGGAAATCTTGTAATTAAACTCTCAGAGTGAATAATGATTTTAATTTTAATTGAAGTACAGTTTTTAATTGAAGTACAGTTGACAGAGAATGTTATATTAGTTTCGGCTGTACACGTAGTGACTGGACAACTCTATACGTTATGCTGAGCTCACCATGAGTGTAGTTACTGCCTGTCACCATACAACAACACTATCACAATACCATGGACTATATTCCCCATGCTGGAACTTCTAGTGACTTAATTTTAAAAGACCTCTGCTTCGTCTCCCTCTCTGTTTGTATTACCTTTGTGGTCACCAGGATATAAATAACTTCTAAATTTCTTTTTCTTATCTCGTTAAAAAGGACATTTTCAACATAATAATTTATGTCTCCAAAGCCTCTTGTTGCCTACAATTACAATTCTATAATAAAAACCTGTTGAATAAGTAATTTTGACTTCCACAACATCCACCCCAACCTCTTCAATCCAAACCTTTTATGTGCCCTTTTATGTGTCTAATGTGCTCCTGTTTCTCCACACCCAAACCCAGTAACCCCTTCACCTCACAACACCTTGTTCACATTCCACATAGTCAGATAGAATACACTAGAAAGGATTTTTATAGTATCAGAACAAACTTTCTGCAAAAGATTAAAAAAAGAATGAAAATTCTTCTCTGAGGGCCTTTGTAGTTTATAGTGCAGGATGGGGTTTCTTTCATACTAACTCCACTAAAACACCAATCAAAGTACCTGAAATAAGGAAAGTACTCACCAACACAAAATCAACTACATAAATTGAACAAATCTGGGGGTCAACAAAAAAAAAAATCAAAATTTTCTATATAAATGAAAAAAGAGCCCCCTCCAAAAGGAATTTTAGAATCTAAGACATGTTAAGATAATAACACCTGCCTTGCCACTTTCCGGGGTTAAATAAGATAATGCCAAAATTATGGTGAAAAAATAGATATTACAGTTTTAAACTAAAAATTAGAAGGCAAGACACAAATAGTACAAACTATAGAAGCAAAGTAAATATGATTGATTCCATTAACACTTTAAAAATTGAGGTTCAGGGCGCCTGGGTGGCTTAGTGGGTTAAAGCCTCTGCCTTCCGCTCAGGTCATGATCCCAGGGTCCTGGGATCGAGCCCCGCGTCGGGCTCTCTGCTCCTCGGGGAGCCTGCTTCCTCCCGTCTCTCTCTCTGCCTGCCTCTCTGCCTACCTGTGATCTCTGTCTGTTAAATGCATAAATAAAATCTTTAAAAAAAAAATTGAGGTTCGCGTTTGGGTCTTCTGGCTGGCTCAGTCTGTGGAACGTGTGACTCTTGCTCTCAGGGTTGTGAGTTCAAGCCCCACACTGGATATACAGATTATTTTTAAAAAATAATAAAACCTTTAATAAATAAATAAAATTGGGGCTGAAGGTTAAGATTGAATATATGCACCTAATTTTGCTTCTTTCTCAAACCCTAAGAAAGCCTCAGTGGAGGGATTTAAAGGACACATAAGTCCTTAAGAACAGGGACGATAGGAGATGATAGCAAAAAGCATTTTAGAAGCTAAAAAGCAGATAGATCTGTGCTAATGACTATAGACAGCTCAACCTTAAGCTAGAAGTGGGAGGAAAGCAGAGACCCATCTGCTTTACCCTTGAAAGGCTCAGGAACTGACAACATCTGAGCCTCTGGAGCTGAGTGAAGCTGAGAAGAGCAGATGCTAAAATAAGGACAGGAGGAAAGCCATTCAGGAAACACTTAAATCCCCAGATACTCTCCCCACCCCCCTTGCCCAGGGTGACTACCTCTTACCTACCCCAATCTGGAGGCTATTTTCTGCAGGTGGTAAAAGAGAGAATCTCTAAGCAGGACACCAGGCACAGATGAGGTCTTAGGTGTCATAGCAAAAACAGAGGAGTTAGTGGTCAAATACTAAATCCTGAGAGGACATCCCTCCCAATGCCACCTTTCCATATTGGACTCCACAAACAGCAGCAGCCAGACTTTTACTCTTCAGACAAGGATTGGACATTTCTACTTTGCACCTGTTATTGTCGAGAGGAAATTTTACCCTACAGATACTGACAGCAGAAATTCTATATTTTTCATTTCTGCTGTTAGACTTTTTAATTTCAAGACCTCTTTTAATTTGAAGACCTCTTATTTGTTTCTTAAAT